CTGCAGCAGAGTTTGGAGGTAGGAGTTGGAACGAGTCCGAGGAAGGGAGGGCTGAGAGCACCGATGAGGCAAAGGTAGTGGGGGAGAGGGAACTAAGGTTACGGCGGACAGGTGCAGGATGAGAAGAGATTAGTTTGTTATGTTTGGAAAGGGGTAGAGAGAATGACCAAGAAATGGCTTAGCCCCACCATGAAAAATGATGTTAAAGTAAGCAAAATAAAGTCTGCCAACTCGCGCCGAGAATTGCACAGACAGCAGTTAGTACGATTGATTTCAGTAGCCACTCTTCTGGAAATACCGAAGACCAGAAACGGTTTTGAAAACGTTTGTCACGTAGTGATCGTCTTCCCAATAGAACATCTTTGATAATGTCTTCTGGCCAATCAGAATCAAGATAACGGCGTGGTGTTGTTGCAGGAAGTCCCAACGGAGAATACTTTTGCTGTAGTACAGGGGTGCACATAACTGGTACGCAGGTTATGTGCGTAATCTGAAATGCGTACCGTCACTTGTGTCACAAAGCGCATTTGCGTACCGACGTACTTGTGAAGCTTTTCCAGAAGGCGGTTAGATCACCTGACGACAGAGTCGGTCTCCGTGTGCACAGACAGGGCTGCTGTTAACGTCGGTCTACTCTGTACAATGGAATTGTGCCAAAACTACGCCAACCGGCTGCGGAGGGAGACTCCCCCCCTTCACTGGAGAACTGCGCTAAAACAGCTGATCAGAATGTTCACACTCTGTGGTCACTAAGTACTCCACTAGCCCCCCCCCCCGTCGACTTTCCTGAAGTACTCCCCCGTTGATAGAAATCAACACGTAATGAATTAAGACCCCACGGTTTGATGATTGATAGGTGTGTGGGCCTTCTTTCATTTATCTTTCAAATAAATGGCATATTTTGGACATAGTTCGAATGGTGATTAATCATGATTAATTAATTTTTAAGCTGTGATTAATCTGATTAAAAATTGTAATCGTTTGACAGCCCTAATTTATATAGTCACGTCTGAACATATGTACAAAGATATTAATAGTTATGTAAGGAACTAAAAAAAGAGCTAGAGAGAGAAATTGTGGATAAGAATGTCAGATTTAACCTCACATTGTCAGGTTTGGGGGAAACACTTGTTTGTGGGGGGGGGGGGGGGGTGCTTCTTGATTTCACACTTTTGTAATACATTCACACATGGCCAGCTGTGTGCAGGAGAGGTTGTGCAACCCTATAAATGTATATAAGGAGAGTCTGTCTGAAAATGCATCAACCCCACATTTAAAGGTTACCCCCCCCCCCCCCCAGTTGTCAGAGAGACAACTGGCTCTTGAACTTTGAGTGTTTGGAAGAGCATACACATGTGTGCCTTCTAATAAAAGCCTACTGCAGTTCTAAGCATTACTGGACCCTTACATCCCTGAAGCATCAACAATGAGAGAAAATGATCTTTAGTGACAGTGCAGTGCATCTCCATGCTTTAATACATTTATTACACAATCATAACTATGGCTTCTGAAGAAGACACAGAAACACCAGGCAGGCTCTGAGAGGCTGAGAGAGCCTCCACCTTATTGTGTTCTCTGAAACAAACCCCACCCTAACCATAACCACAAATCATACCCACGTATTCTCTATGCTCCGACTCTATTTAAACTCTTTTGTATGTAAAATTGCCAAGAATACATCCAACTTGACATGTAGATTTGATTGATTTTCAACATCCACTTCCAGACTCAAACTCACATATTAAACACAAATGATACTCGCTGTTACCCGCTTTATAAATAAACTGTACTATAGTAGTAACAGAAAAATACAGTATAAGCATGATGATACATTTATTTTGTTTATTTTGTTTTCTAGCACCACGGGCAGCTCACACACTTTCTCTTCTAAGCTATTAGAATACACTCAGGCCTGTGTTGTGTGTATTTAAGGTGGTCAGTCTGAGTCACTAAAATACACAATGATTAAATCTAGCACACACACACACACACACACACACACACACACACACACACACACACACACACACACACACACACACACACACACACACACACACACACACACACACACACACACACACACACACACACACACACACACACACACACACACACACACACACACACACACACACACACACACACACACACACACACACACACACACACACACAGTCAGCAGGTCTAGCTTTGTTCAAATTAAAGGCCGTCCCGCTCTGGGAGGCGAACCAGTGGTTGAGTCTCAAGGTAACTATACAGCACCAAACCACAGCACCAGGCCCGGCTCCACCACCAGATAATGTCCTATAATCTCAGCGTTTGAGCTGCGGCAGGGCCGGCTGCTGGAAATAGGGAGCCTATAATCATGATCTGAGCAGCATACTAGGAACAGATAATAATATATTGCCTGTCATCATGTATTTGCTTTTCTTTGACTTATCTTGCCTAAAGGTGGAGTCAAGAGTTCTGATAAATTACACTTTTTGACTCAGCGATCGCCTCACAGTCCTCTAGCTGTTCCTTCTGTGTGTGCTGAAAATAAATCTGGTGTTCATACACACCCCTGACTCTGTTAATGGGGAACAAACAAAGTTAATACACAACACTTTTCCAGCGGGGGAAAACCCATGAATATATTGAGAAAGGCAGTGGGGCTGTGTGTTGAGTTCAAATATTAAAAATGTTTCTCCAGAATCCAGACTCTGTTTTTAAGGTGTCTACTGTATGAACTGCAAATATTTGTCTTTCTACAACATTGTGTGTTTGAGTTGGATGGCCGTTAGGATTTTGTTTACAGGAGTATCCACACACACTCTTCCTGTGCTGCGAGTCAACAGGAAGTCATGGTTACAGGGTACAAGAATGCTGAATTAGCAGCTTTGACTGTATTTCTGCAGCAAATTCAATGTGTATTGAAATGGTTCCAACACTGGTTTGGAACAAATAACACTCAGTGCTGCACAGTGGACTCTAATTTTAAATATAAACACAAACAACTTTCTTGGAGAGAGCAGCTGTCTGTCAAATATGAGGTTCCACAAGTGTTCCGCTCACAAAAACAACGTGTGTTATTTTCAACCTGTTTGTTCATCCAGCGCAACCTGATGCTCATTTCCATTTGATTGCATCTCCTTTTGAACCGACCTCACACTGTCTACAGAAACAGATTTTCACTACTGACCAAGCAGCATCTGGTGTTTACCCGCCACCTCTATCTGCCAGTGGTTTCAACAGAAATAATAGAAACTACACACACAACCGACTGAGATTACATTCACAGCTCTGAGTGTACCTGACAACACACACAGTAGAGAGAAGGGAGTCCTGCTCGAAATAAACCAAATGCTGTCTTTGGAAAGAGGCTCATAGAGTGTATGTACATATTATCTCTTCCACACTAAGATGTCCATCAGGCACAAAACATCTCCACAACATCCCATTATTTGCTGAACCAGTGGTGAAAAAAGTAAATGTCCTTAAATAAAAGCACCAATACAACAAACATACATCAGGCTGCTGTGGTGGGACGTGTGCAGCTGGTGAATAATCCTGTTTTAGAAACTGAATGGGTTTTTTCTAGTAGCTTTAAGAATATAATTTGTCCTTCATATGTCATTTTTAATCATTTGTATATTGATGCTGCCAGTCTTTGACTTGTATATAAAGCTCATCAAACATCCAGGTTGTAATTATGACTATAATAATCTCCATTTATCCCGGAAAAGAGGTGCTTTCAAGTGAATATTTCATCATGTTAAATATCCAAAGGCACTTCATTCACATCCCACTGAGAAAACAATGAGCAGCACATTTCAAAGTTGCAGTTTGATCATTCATTTTTATGAAGTATTACAAAATGTATTGTACATTTCAATTTCACAGTTGACTGAAACTGATGTGTGTGTCAGATGGGTGTCAGAATAAAAACTAAAACAAGCACTAACATTTTCCTCAAACAAGAGGTCATTTTTCTACCATTATTATAGCAAGCAACATTTCATATTAATATTAACATTTGTTTGATATGCTTCATTGTTTGAAATATAACCAATACAAATGAAATTATATTTGTATTGCGCATTTTCACATAGCCGTTATTTACGATGTGTATGTCTATGAAGTGTTCTTCTCACTTCTAAAACCAGACTATTAAACAAGTCTGTTAGATCATTTTAGGGGCTATAAAGAATTATACAAGATTTTTCATTTTCTACTTCCTTAATACTGCATATTTCCAACTATTCAGGCCTATTTCAAAAGAAACTCTCTTGTTGAACATCTCTCAACTTCTGTCCACACTGAGGCCATACCCTGATATAATGGTTATTAGACCTCATCAAACTGTATACACTGTATGACCACAAGTCCTAGAATAGACCACCCCACTGCAGACAAATGATTGAGGGAAATTACTGGGTGAGGCTGCTTCCATTTCTCATATCCACACGAGTCCTGCTAAATCTACTTAAGAGTTTTCAGAAGGTAGAGTATGTATCAGAGAGGAGATTATATTACAGAGTCTAATAAAAACTAGACATGAACATCGAGTCCACTTTAGCCTAAACTATATTGTTTTTTAAAAGAAATAGTTAACTGATAAAGAGGGGAAACATGACTTAAATTATTTGAGTTGTCATTAAACCAAAAAATCAAGAAGGAAGGTGTAAAGGCCAAACACACACACACACACACACACACACACATATATATCACCTTCACACAGTTCCTCTTGAGACACAATAATTTCCCCACCTGCACCTGGAAACAAACTCAGTGGAGTTGCTAAAACCAAAGCGTAATCCTAATATGAAACCTCCTAGATATACATGCTCTGTAAAAATGTTTTCTATACCTATTAATCAGTGGTTGTCATGAGGATGTCCAATTCTTCTATTTCAAAATATCCTTGTAAAGGCCTTCCTAATTTGTGGTTCTATATTTTTGCCATAACTGAGATGGTGAATTCCTATGCAGTTGATAGTGAGTCACACACTCACAGGACTGCTGCTCCTTGGCCCAGCTGGTGGTCTTATGGGACTGACACCAGATAGTGACCCCGTCCTCCAGCAGCTTCAGGGTGCGACGCTTCTGCCAGCGAGGCGAGCGGACCTTGACATTTAATAAATAAATCCATTAAATCTCAATGACTGATAACTAACAACAAAATAAACTAGTCATTTATAACAACCTTTACCTTTATCATGCTGGAGCCCTGCATCATCCGCTTCACATCTTCATCTTCCTGCACTCCTACAAAGCAAACAGACCAAAAGGATGGTTAATGGAAGATAGATGTCATGGAAACTTGATCTATTGTGTAAACGATGTAAGTATGTTCAGAATATAACTCAGTAGCACTTATAGAAGGCGGGGTGAGGAGAAGGGAGGATGAAAAGTGAGGAGAGGGAAGGGAGGATGAAAAGAACATGGAAGAGTAGAGCAGAGTCACAATTAGAAGTTAGTGAATATATTTATATACATCTGTAGGACCACAGAGGTTCACATGGGAGGTCTGTAATTCTGACATTCTGCTTAGAGCAGCAGCTGGGTGCCAAGGTATGGACAGAGACATCAGGAAAGACAGGAGGACTTTGGCAAAGGAAAAAGAAGACAAGATGAAAAATGAAAGAAAGACAAAGTTGAAGAGTTACAGCAGAGTTTGTAGGCGTTTACAGAGATAAAGAGTGATGTGCCTTTCATCTGAATGTGGCTGTATTTCAGCCAGAACATATTTTGTCATACATGCATTTGTTAATTTCAGTGTTATATATAAAGGTGTATGATTTCTGTATGAATATCCTGTTAATGACGACTGCTAATCTCTTTGGTAGATAGGACATCACTGAAGGCCTTACTCCAGAGTGACTGAGTGTTCACGTATATGTCACGACAAACCAGTATGAACCCAAGAGCCCGACTCGACAAACAAAGTACAAAAGAAAGTCTTTACTAAAAAAAACGCACTATGTGCACAACAGAAAATCACTCCGTAGAAGTAACAGGTAGATAACAAAAAACACTCTTACGAGGAAAAGGTTACCAAAGTAGTTCCAAAAAACAAAGGATCAAATACATTCCAAACTCGGTTCTTAGCTCTTGGCAGAAAGACATGGACTTGACGCTGGCTGTCTGGCACATGGGACGAAACGAACTGGCAACAAGACAAGAGAGACAGAGGGTGTTTCTCAATCGCGAGTACGCTTGCTTGGTAGCACATGTCTGCCGAGCATCTTGCTTCAGAAGCGAGGCAAGAATACTTCCTGGCATTCGGAAAACAAAGAGTGGAACAGGCTAGCAAGTGTGCAGGTGTGCGTCATATGGGAGGCACTGCCTTACATTTTCCGCCACAGATTTGGGGAAATTGGTCCGTGCGCAAAGCATTGTGGGGATTTTAAGACCGCGGAGTCTACACATGTGCAACCTCGAAATGTCTCTCTCTATTTTGTATCTATTTTACGTGCATTGCTAAGAAATGTCTTCTACTTCTTTAAAAAAAACAAATGCTTATTTGGGGCTTCAGGTAGCAGTTGAAAAACATGGATTTAATACCTGTCAAATGTAATACTGAGGCTAATAATCACATTATTGGTTAAAACCTTCCATAACTGACTGTGAAGGTTTTTACAGTTTTTTTCTTTTACTATTACAGCACTGTATGAATTTGATGATACTGTTGAGCGGAGGAAAGCGTATAAAGCCATACTGACACGGTGGTACCTTCCAGAGGCTTGATCATTGATATTGTCTAGTTTTCTTCATGGAGAAGCAGATCCTTTTGTGCAGATGCAGGGTTGTATGACATTTGAAGATAACACAACTGAAAGGTAAACTCCTCCATCGTGAGCTCTGTCTTCAACATGTCTTGTATACCTCAGACGTCAGCAGGATCAAGACGGGTTTTCTTTGTCCGTTTAATCCAGCTGCTGTTAAATCTTCTCTGACCTGGTCATGTTAACCCTCATCCAGAACTTGACTGATTTTGCCTTGTTTTTTCACTAGCAGCACAATATAGTGCGGGGAATATTAGTACGTTGGCTGTATTTGATTTGATTTGCAGAGAGTGCAGGAGGGAATACTGTATGATGTTAAAGGTCTCGTGATAAACGCAGTTTGACCCGCAGTTTGACCCGTTAATTGGTATGAATCAGATATAAGCAGATATATATGATTTGCCGACGACATCCAGCTTCTCATCTCCACCAAGTCCATCTCCACTGCTACCCACTCCATCCTGACAAACTGCATCACTGAAATCAAATCCTGCCTCCAACTGAATTTCCTGAAACTCAACTGCGATAAAACTGAGATAATAATCATTGGACAAAACAAGCTCACCACACCTATCCATAACTTCACCCTCAACATAGACGGCTTCCCAGTTCAAACCTCCCCTCACATCCGGAACCTAGGCATCATATTTGACCAAACCCTCTCCAACAACAAATACATCAAACAGATCACAAAGACAGCCTTCTTCCACCTCAAAAACATCGCCCGTCTACGTCCATCCCTCTCTCCCACTGCTGCCGAAACCCTCATCCATGCCTTCATCACCTCCCGTCTGGACTATTGCAACAGCCTCCTCTACGGTTCACCTGCAAAAATCCTCAACAAACTTCAATACATCCATAACTCCGCCGCCCATCTACTCACCCACACCCGAATCCGTGAACACATTACACCCGTCCTCATCAAGCTCCACTGGCTCCCCATCCCGCAGAGAATTCAGTACAAGATCCTCCTGATGACATACAAAGCCCTCCATAACCTGGCCCCATCCTACCTGACTGACCTCCTCCACAGACACACTCCCACTCGCTCCCTCCGCTCTGCTGCTGCCAACCTCCTGTCCCTCCCCACCCGGACCAACCTCAAGTCCTGGGGCGGCAGAGCCTTCTCCGTTGCTGCACCCACCCTCTGGAACTCACTACCCCAATCCATCAGAGATTCTTCCTCCCTCACAGCATTCAAAACATCACTCAAAACCCACCTGTTCAACACTGCATTCAACCACTGACCACCCCCCTCCCCCCCTATTTTCTGTTTTGTTTATCTCTTTTTGTATTTTTCTTTGTTTTGTTTTTTGGTTGTTTTTTTCATTCCCTGTCAAAGCGTCTTTGAGTTTCCTGAAAAGCGCTATACAAGTCTCATGTATCATTATTATTAAATCATAAATATATATTTCAAGTCTCTTCAACAGCTTTGGTCAATCACTAAGTGACAAAAGCACACAAAACACATTTCAGTTTTTGGTAAATGTTTTTATCTGGAGCAGAATAGAGGTTGAATTGTTTAAAACACACTCGTAAAGTTGCACACATAAATGTCATCTATGTTCATGGAATAGTTCGCATTTTAGCTAAATCCATGTATTAGCTTTTTTTGATGAGAGTTAAAAAAATATCCTCATGTTTGTGGTGTTTTTTGCAATAACCTTGGCCCAGCATAACAAAATAAAGGCTTTAGGGTTTATAATAAATGCTTGCCATTATTGGTTTGAAAACAAAAACAACAATCTGATCAATGACCATGGAGTGAGCAGAATGTTAGGAATGTGTCTTATCTCTAGTTTCCTGAGAGGAGTTGCTTCAAATGTGCTGTGTGAGGCCCTTTGGATTTATCCGAACAATGTTTATATCTGTACTTTATATATGTCCATTGTCCACACCACATCACTGAGGACCTGACATGGACTTTTCACACTACCACCATCGACAGCGGCTCTTAGGGCTGCACGATATATCGTGTCGTGACGATATGCGCACGCAGGACGTGACGTTTTTTTAAATATTTTTTTTTAGGACTTGCGATATTAAGTAGGCAAATTAACTCAAACACGTCATGTTACAATTATTTTGCTGCTTGCTACAAAAGGAAAACTTGCGCGGCTCTCATGTCAGGGGTACCTGAGTGAGTGACACAGCAAACCACCAATCACAATCAAATCTCCAAAGCAAATGGACCCGGTGATTAAAGGTAAAAACACTGAATAAAGTAGTTTCATGTGTTTCTCCAGGGCAGTTCGGTGCTGCTAACAGAGCTAGCTCAGCTTGGTGCTCTGATAACTTAAGATCCAGACGTCCGTGACTAAAATCCTTCATCCGGTTAAATATAGTTAAATAAAAAAACAATTGTATAGCATTAAAGTTCAAGAAAGGAGAGGATTCCTGTATGTTTTCATATCCCAATATATATCGCAGGGGGGGAAAAAAATCGCAATGTCAGTTTTTTCCAATATCGTGCAAACCTAGCGGCTCTTCTTCCTCCGCAGGCTGAGGAGGTTCAATATGGACTCCAGGATACTCTGCAACTTCTACAGGTGCACCATAAAGAGTATCCTGACTGGCTGCATCACGGCCTGGTACGGCAGCTGCACCGCCCTCAATCGTAAGGCTTTACAGAGGGTGGTGAAAACTGCACAGCACCTCACCAGGACGGAGCTGCCATCCATGGAGGACCTTTACTCCCAGCGGCTCAGGAAGAAATCCCTCCGGATTATAAAAGACCCCCATCACCCCAGCCACAAACTGTTCTGTCAGGCAGTACCGCAGTATCCGGACTAAAACCACCAGATTCAGAGACAGTTTCATAACACAGGCAATAAGACTGCTAAACATCTGAACAGCTGAAACAACATCTGTTAAACACCTGACTAAACAGCATCCATAACATTCATCTGCTACTTAGTAATTATTTATCTATTTCTCTAATATATCATTCCAATAACTTGCATATCAGTGTGAGAAAAAGTTTTTAGAGAGTACTTGTCCATGGACAAGTGAGTTTGGCAATTTACTTGTCCGAATACATTTTTCACTTGTCCAGAATGGACACAAATTGGGGCCACTGGAATCTTCTTCTTTCCATCGTATTTTACATTTTCCCACGTTTTTTACGACACCGCTAACGTAAGTGAGCCGTAAGATTTTACTGCATCACACATAGGGTTGGGTATCGTTTGGATTTGAACGATTCCGGTTCTGCTTTTCGATTCCGGTTATTTTCGGTTCTCGATTCCGGTTCTTTGAGAGGTTCAAAATAAATCCCATGACAAACTGGGAGAAAAATATATTTATGAAAACATTAAGTCAAATCTGTATTCCTATTTACAAATCACTTCATACTGTTTAATTTCTTACGGTTATTGAATACAATTATATAAAAATAATCTCTGCATTGATTAGTTAGTTCTAAGTGGTGCAGTTTGAGAATGTACAATTGGCCCAGTCTCCTGATGTTACACTGCAACC